AATCTGGGTCAGAACAAGCTCCCCTTCCCTTGCCTCTCTGTCCTTAAAATCTCTTGGTGAAGTGCTCGTCCCTGGGAACTCTGCCATCTATTCCAGCAGAGCTGGATTTCATTTGATGACCCTGCGAATGAATAAATAAGTGCGTATTCATTTATTCATTTTGCTTCACCCTCGAGATTTCACCTAAATTGTTTATCTCCTTCCCTCCGTTGGCCCGGGATGCCGCAGGAAACAAAAGGCTCTGCGAGCTGCGCCTCGTTGCTCCCAACTCTGAAATCTACTTTGCTTTTTTTGTCACGCTTGGCTCCGGCACACAGCTCGGCGTGGGTTTGTGTGCCCAGCTCCCTTGGCACAGCTATCGCTGATGCTCTGCCCGGGGGGAATTTTTTTTATTGTGATCTCCATTTTTGTCTCATTTATCGGGAAAGTATATCGCTGGGACGGCTTTTAGTTAACAGCATCAGCTCTGAGCTTCCCAGGCGGGAGCGGGGACCGCTGTTAGGTGCGCTGTGTCCTCAGGCAGATGTTACCCCTCTGGTCAAAGCGCTGGTAGCAGAAAGGAGATGAGGAGTGTGGGGGTGTGCGTGGGGTGTCACCGAGTGAGCTAAGCCTCAGGATCCTTCCAGCCTCTTATAGCCTTGATTTTTTTTTTTTTAGCTATTCCCTTCCCCAGCCCAGCAGACAGGGCCGAGGGCAAGGCTTGGTTTCAGTAGGATGGATTCAGATCCGTTCCAAGGAAGGGATCTGCATTTACACCGGCAAAACCGTGAGAAGGGTCTGGATTAGCTCTGTGCAGACTGTGTCCTTGGTAAAATGAGGATTGCGGAGAGGGAGGTTCAGCCGAGGGCACAGTATTGTTGTTCGCTACCAGGAGTTTTCTCTCCCAACAGATGAGGAATGTTCCACCACCGAGCATCCCTACAAGAAGCCCTACATGGAAACTTCTCCGGCAGAAGAGGATCCTTTCTACAGGTCCAGTTACCCCCAGCAGCAGGGACTGAACACTTCATACAGGACTGAATCAGCCCAGCGCCAAGCGTGCATGTACGCCAGCTCCGCTCCCCCCACGGACCCCGTGCCCAGCCTAGAAGACATCAGCTGTAACACGTGGCCCAGCGTGCCGTCCTACAGCAGTTGCACAGTGTCTGCCATGCAGCCGATGGACAGGTTACCCTACCAGCATTTCTCTGCCCACTTCACCTCTGGGCCGCTGATGCCCCGGCTCAGCAGCGTGGCCAACCATACCTCCCCCCAAATAGGAGATACCCATAGCATGTTTCAGCACCAAACCTCGGTTTCTCACCAACCCATCGTCCGGCAGTGTGGACCTCAAACCGGCATCCAGTCCCCCCCCAGCAGCTTACAGCCCGCAGAGTTCCTCTATTCCCACGGCGTGCCTCGAACCCTTTCGCCCCACCAGTACCACTCGGTCCACGGCGTGGGGATGGTGCCAGAGTGGAGCGAGAACAGCTAACAAGGCGGTGAGGAAAGCGCAAGAGCGTTAGACACAGGGGAAAAAAAACCAACCAACCAAACAGGAAAAAAAAAAATGGGAAAAGGAAAAGGAAAAAAAAATTATTACCCAGTTGATAAAAGCGAGAGTATTTTGCAAGACTCCTTTAACTGAATGTTCACCGATAGCACTCGAGAGGGATGGACACTGATTGAAACCACAGATGAAATAGTCATCGGCCTCAGTGTGACTTGCTCCCCCCCCCCTTTTTTTTTTTTTCTTTTGTTTCAAAAGAAAAAAAAAATCAACAGATCGGCACACTTCTCCCCAGCCACGGTCCCCACCCAGTTTGCGTTGCTGCCACCGCCAGCCCTGCGCCCTCCTCCCCCCCTCTGCCCTCCTGCTCTTTTTCTTCTCCAAGGGGACACCAAACTCCTGCTGCCTTTCTCGACACAGTCAGAGTGCTTGAACGAAAACAACTAGGATGTTACTTCTTTTTTTTTTTTTTTTGTGGTGTTGATGTTGACGATGTTATATAATAAATAATAATATATATATATTTTTCTTTCAATTTTCTCAAAAAAAGACACCGGCCCTTTTTACCGAGGGTGGCTTTGGAGTGGTGTTTCTTTTTTATTTTATTTTATTTTATTTTTTTTTTAAATTAGTATTATCATTGTTACTTTTCAACAGAAAGAGGTTTTTCCGAACCCACAAATGAGCAAAGCAGGTACCTACCTCGCCCTGGCGTTGTACCACGAGCGAAACCGCTCCCTGCAGGGTGCCGCCTTTCCTTCCAAACCCCCCGAAACGCGTCTCCGCAGGAATCAGCCCCGTAAACTCATCTCCTTTCCCACTTACGCGTAATTCTCTCGCTCTTCTTTCCTTCCCGTCTCCTGGTCCATCAGCCATCTCTGATGGAAGTTCTGGATATCTTTCAAACTTGAAAACATCCACTGCTTGTCTCCTGCCGAATTTTGAACCGGCACGCAGAAAGTGAGGCTCTGAGCCAGCCGCAAAAAGGGGGAAGAAAAGAGGGGAGGGGGGGGAAAAGGATGGCGACAGCAAAAGGGAAAAAGTTTGCTCATAAAAATGATGGCGACGCTTGTTTGCAATCCCGGATTTTCATTTTATCTTGCATTTTTTCTTCCTCTCAAAAAAAAAAAAAAAAAAAAAAGGGATACCGGTCTAGGTATGTTAAGTCAGATATTAAGTAAATGTATTTAAAAGGAGCAGAAAATGGTCATGAGTGGCTGGGGGGGGGGGGGGGGGGGGGGGGGGGGGGGGGGAGGGGAGGCGAGAGGAGAAGAAAAAGCAAATGCGTGTAAGTAAAAATGTCTACTGCAGAATTTTTCAGGTGTAAAATTTCCTGGTACTATTTATTTATACATGGGAGTTCAACTAACTCATAGCATGTCACAAAGCCAGCGAAGCAGCTGATTCAAAGGGGTTAAAATTTCTATTGAAATGGAAGTTTGCTTTCTTTTCTTCTTTGTTTTTTTTTTTTTTTTTTCTCTCCAAGCTGTGCACACTCTATATAATTTACATATATTTTTAATTAAAAGTAATTCTAATTAACAAAAGAGCTATACCTGTGTGTCAGCAACTGAGAAGGAGGGTGCGAATGTGTGGGCATGCCGGTATGTGCGTTGAGGGGGGGGGCGATTATAGACAGGTATCCAAAGCCCTGTAGCTAAGAAGAAAAAAAATAATCCCTACCCAGCTATGCTTTCCTGTGCTTGTGTGCCGATTTATGCCTAATAAATACCGCATGCTCTCAACGGCGAGGGACCTGCCCACCTATTTTTAATTTTTTTCTTGGGTATGGGGTGGGGTTTTTTTTTTGGGTTCTTCCTGCTCGATGCCCACAAGTTTGATTTTTATTTATTTCTGGTGTACCACGGGGGGTAGAGCATCCCAACGGGGGAGGCTGTTTGACAATGATGGGCTCAGGTTGAGAGTGCCGCATCCGGGGCTGTGTGTGTTTCTCCACTGGTCCCCCAGGTCCTTCCCACCCTACTCATCCCCAAGGGAGATGCTCTCCCGGGGTCGCTGTCCCATCAAGGCAGATTTAGAAGCGGCCCTGGGAATCCAGGTGGGTGCTGGGGTGGCAGCGGGAAGCCCTCGCGGAGTTGGAGCTGCCCTCCCCGTTCCCATTCAGGTAGGGTCGGTGGGGGATGTCTGGTCCAGGGGAGGTGTGGGGCCGTGTGCCAGCCTGGGCAAAGGAGGGAAGGATGTTGGATGCTTCACGGATTGGAAACCAGATGGGAAAATCAGCTCCAGAGAAATAAAGAGATTGCACCCGAGAGGCCCAGCAGAAAGGTCTCCTCCATGTGGCTGGTGGACCACG